GCTGGGACATTTAGCTCTCAAACGACACCAACATTTATAAAGGGGGAGGGGAGGGGGTAAATTGATATGTCCTAACTTTTCTTGGGAATGATTGATAGCATGCCGAATTTTCTATTCAGTGTCAAGGAGTTTTGGCCACGATTGTCTTTATCATGGCTGGATTTGTTTGTTATTTCAATGTTATCATAAAAATAGATTGAGGAGGATTTTACTAAGTCAAAGGATTGCTTTTGAAAGAAAATAAGGCAGGGTATCCTAAATTACTTCTAGGCGGCAGAAAAATCAGAAAATTTGGATCTTATGGACGAATGATAACATTAGAGCCTCGGGGTTATCACCATTAATTCTAAACTGGGGAACAGTAGTGTAAGGAAATTGTCCTCTTACCCCGTAGCCCCGTTGTGGCAAATCCTTTGCTGATAATGTTTTTTCGTGGATTTTGTTTATATAGATTGTTGCAATATATAGGCAGAGCCAGGAAAAACATCACGGTTGCACGGCCATTGACCGGAGGAAGTTCCACGATAAACGATAGAAGCTCCTACGACACACCTAAACCACGCCTACTCTCTATTGTTTGCGAGGAAGGTTTGCCTTCTGGGATGTTTTTGTCTGTAGGAAGGTTAACAACTTTTCTGGGCTCTGTATAAAGGTTTATCTATATGGAAATTTGGAAAACCTAAATCTTTTATTCAACATAAACGTAGGTTGGGTATGCCCCCGCTGCCCCCATTCTCTGTGGCACGGTCCGTGTCCCTTATTAGTTGATTTTGACATACTCAATTAACTATCGATGGGGCTGATTGTGACGTCATAGATAAACTATCAATGGATTTAGAACAGTATTTTTATTTCTTTCTACCTCGCATTCGAAAGTAGATTTTAGGACACGAAAAGCAATGCTAATAAAATGTGTCTGGCCCTTCCTTTCGATGTGACCACAACTCGAAATTCCTAAGCATGGTATTGCAGAGAGCTTGCTACTCTCCTTACTCTAAGTGAAAGTTTAGTAATGGCTGGGACTCGAACCCCAAGACTCTTGGATATGTTTTCCGCGACCCAAACCAGTGAGCCATCTTCGCACAATATTTCCTCTGAGCCATCTAAATCAGTCACAGACTTTCTTTTGTAAAGTGAAGAAGATACGTTTACGATCTGTTAAGACTGGCTGTTACAGTTTGAAGACATGCATGAGTAGAAAAATTGACCCTAGAGTCCAAGAACTGTTTCTAGCATCTAATCATTGAGGTTAAGTAGATTTTTGGTTTTCGATGAATTGAAACTTTTCTATGAAGGGTCAATGGTCCTATTTTGCCTAGACAGCCGATGTCTCATTCCTTAATGCGAAGAAGGAGTACGAAAGGGGGGGGGGATTGTAGAAATCAGCTAGACAAATCAAAATTTTCCGAGTATCGTTCAGAAATCTGGAAGTCTTTAACGTTTCAGCTGTTAATTCAAAGATACCTTCAAGGGGTTATCTGATAATATGACAGGTGTCGCACGTCTCCGGCGAGGAAACGAATAATTTTCTTGAATGGGGTCTGTAGCCCGCAAAACAAGTCTGCTTTAAACAATATTTTTTGTCTCGTGACCTTTTTAAGTTTATCCTTTATTTCGTTTAACATGACTGTAAGCTGCGGGTACTTAGTGGACTGGGCTCAAGTGACATCATTTCAGATTAAAGTAATAGGGGCAAACACTCTGCTGCCTATTGCACTGTATATCTCTCTATTCTCCGTTACTCCAGACGTAAATTTTTACAGTGGTATTTAGCTTTCAGTGTCCGTGACTTTTGAAAGGTGATGTAAACGATAATGCTTTTGTTTTTGGACTGATATTTTCATCAGCTTGGACGAACAAATGTTTTCGAAAGTTTTGTTTTGTAAAAGGACAAGATACTGATTCAGAGATCACTTGATATCCGTTACTTCAGTCAATTAGAATTTCGGAAGCACAATTTGTACAAAAATTTCGGCATGACAAACCTCCGGACAACTCTAAGTTTCCTACAAATAAATTTTCGGTTAAATCTTCGAGCGAAATGATTTGAACTTAATGTATGAATGTGTGTTAATAATTATGGTTATGATATAATTATGATAAGCTTGATTTTGTTTCCTATGTTTTATAATTTTTGTAGTGGATGTTCTCTTCGAATAAGCCTTGCTTAAGGAGTAGCCCCTCAACATATGAAATTAACCTTAAATTTGGGGGTTAGGGGGTGGCCTCGTAGCAGGCACGATAATTGAAAGTCTAATTATCAAATTATTATAATACTTTTTTATTATAACAAAACTTCTTCTGATGTTTTATACTCTGAAGTGTGTTAGACGAAAAGCTTAAGTATGTTGTAAAATGATTGCTTTTTCAAAGCCATTTTCAGATTTCATACCGTCAAAAAATGTTCAAATTTAATGATGTTTCAACTTGATAACAAGGACCGCGAAGCATATAACAGATTTAAGGGGCTAAAACACTTTTGGGGGGCTAAAAATTCTAAAAACCAAGATCAAGGTGATTTTTGTATGGTTTTATGTACATTTATGAAGCCCCCTTAGCCCCCCGCTTCTGTGGTCCCTATGATATACACGATATGTCTAAAATAAGTAGCTGCTATGTCAAAATCGTACCTTGAACTTGTTCAACAGCTCGCCGGTCTCTCGATCATCTTCACAATTTGCTGTTTATGTAACAAAGTGAGGTTATCCTGCAGATTTCACTCAGCCTTATTCAAGTAACGTTCAGGTTTGGCAATATCTAGGCAGTGATATATCACCAAGCCGACAAATTAAGAGATTTTCTGATGTCCATGTTGACTTTGTCAACGAATACCCTAGATATTTTCAGTTGTTCCCATTGGAATCGTAAAACAAAGGAAGATTCCAATGGGCTCGATTTAGCATGGACATGAATTAATCCCAAAATAGACATTTTAATTCCCCCTTTGTTTCCAAGAATCCTCTCATTGTTTCTTGGAATTTTAACTTTTGCACACAGTCTTTAGAACCCAGTCTCCCAGGGGGGCTATTTGGAGATTTGGGGACTCGATGTTCAATGTTTAGTAACTAGCAGCATATGTTGAGTGGAAAATATTGACGCGAAATTTTTGTGATGAGGTTTTGAAATTTATTTATTTCAACGATGGAAAGGAAAAAAAGCATGGGTGCAAGTTGGAGGAAATTGAGCCAAGTTGTGTCTCCTAAAAGGGATGTTGTTACCTTGCAAAATGGTGGTATGTTCTTGTTAATTATCAGGACTGAACTTACTAAAATACTGTTTAATTAGACCGACGCTGTTAAATTTGAGAAATTTAATGCACGGAAAGTCATTGGAAACCGAAGAATTTCGGTGACCTCGCCCATACCATGCCCTGTAGCTATCCTTGCGAATGTACTCTTGTTTGACGTCATCGATTTTGTACCCCGGTATCTAACGACTTACATTCTTTTTTTATAAGAACCAGCAAATTTTAGTTCAGGCTGACTGTTCTTATTTTTTTCGAAAATCTGAGCCTGGATTGTTCTTAATTTGTTCTTAAATTAAGAGGGTGTGAGCAGTGCTATTGCTAGCTTTTTCGTTCTAAGGAGGTGTTCAGGCCTCATTTGCCAACAAAGTGAGTGAGACAGCCTTAATTTGCTGACAAATTTGAATATTCACCGAAAAAGCACCGACACATCGCTAAAAATCCTCGATTTGGAGAAAAAACGTTGTTCAAAATTGCATTTTGCAGAAGCTCAGCCTCAGTTTGTTCTTAATTTATTCTTAACTTTTGACCAGTTTTGAGGTTCGTGTTCTTATAAAATTGTTCTTATAAAAAAAAGAGTGTATGTCAAAAATAGACCTCATTTTTAATCGTCCTATTGACATTGGTGTATGCTGGAAATTTAATGTCGCTTTCACTTTTTCGGCGCAAGTTACTACGTTTTGATTCTTTAGATATTCTTTTAAAGATTTAACCAGAACTCGCTGACAGAAATTTGCTGCTATAGTTAAATTTTACCTGTGAAATTTACAGAAAAATCTTACTTTTAAAACGGCGCATTTGGCGTTAATTAATTACAAAATCAAAGAATTTACAAAACCACCTCGACATTTCTTCCCCTTTTTTAATTTTTTCCTGTATGTGCAAGTTTCAAATGTATTTCATGGTAGAAAACTCCCCCTCCCCCCTCCCCTGGCATACGGGGCTTCATCAGAGGAAACACAAAACTTTTTGCTTGGAGGGGGAAAGCAGCCGGGGCGAAATATTTGCCTTCACTAATTTACGTGTATTTATTATTATTTATTTTCGTCGCATTGCGGTGTTTCTTACAGGGCCCGCACCAATGGGGGGCCGGGGTGGCCATGGCCCCTCACTTTTTTGCGAAGCAAGTAATTTTAAAAACTGCAATAAAACGGGTAAGAAGCCGTGCCCCCCTACGTTTTTAGCCTTGCCCCCCCCCTATACAATTCGTGGCGCGGGCCCTGTCTTATTTGCTACATTTTCATCGACTTTTCGCCGCAAGAACTCCTTTGAGTCCGTCGAGCACACTGCCATCGTGACCTTTTCTTTATTCACACAAAAAGTTGTGTCTCGGTCTTTGGTCAAGGCTATGTCTAATTGGGGGACAATGCCGGCAAAATCCCCTGATTATATATCTTCACTTCCCCACCCCCGGATTTTAAGAACTTTTTAGCGTGCATAAACCTCCGTTTCCGTGCACCTCCTACGCATCGGCTTTTAAAAAGAGGAAAACCTAGATCCAACAGGAAGTATGAATTGACGACGATGATGTAATGTGATGTTTGGACCAGCTCGAGTTTAGGTTTGTTATTTGTGATGAAATGAGCGAGAAAAAGACTAGTGTATGGACGAAGATAAGTCGAGGCACTGGAAGGAAAAAACTTTTGGATGCAGCACAGAATCTTGTGGTGCTGAAAGATGGCGGTATGTGTCTTTGTAAACTTGTTCTTATACTTGAAATAAGTAATAAAGGAACAAGGAAGCATTTATAACTTACAAGGCACGAATTTTGCAAGAGCCAGAACTGGAACTATTTTGGTTCTTAGGAAGCCAGGGCCTCTCGTGAGATTGTAAACACCTTTATTTCCAACGAATAATACCGTTTGTTCCAACAGTCCTTAACCAATGGACCCATTGCACTTATCACCGTAAACAATCAGCAAAAGGTTCTAGCATCAGGGCCCGTGCCAGGAATTTGAAAGTGGGGGGGCCAAGGCTAAATAAGTAGGGGGCCAAGGCTGAAAAAGTAGGGGGCCAAGGCTTCTTACCCCTTATACTACAGCTTTAAAACTACTTGCTTCGCAAAAAGTAAGGGACCATGGTCACTGAGCATAAAGGGTGTTGTGATAATTAAGTTCAACCTAAACGGGATACGTCTGCTCCCGAAAGGGCATTTGAAAAGCTTGGGGGTACAGTGCCCCTCGTGCACCTTGTGCCCCCGGTACCAACATCTCCGTCAACGGCCTTCGTATTGATAAGGGTTCTGTATAACTAGACAGAGGCCTATGAATTACAATGTTATTGTGTCGGTATCCAACGACCACGTGTCCTGCTATGGAAGGCTGTTTGCGAGTCAATAGCAGGGTAAAGGAGACAGGCTCTACGAGAATCAGGGAGAAGAAAAGCGGATCCAACAAATTAAAGAGCTTGGGCGCAAGACATTATGCTTTTGTGATAATGTCACAGGCTCGCTTATAGACTCAAAGACATAACACTTATGTAACAGGGCCTTATAAACTTATGAATAAGGGGGGGGGGGGGGGTCGATCATCCAGCCAGGGCAAGAAACGTTTGTTCAAAACAATAGACTTGAGCTACAAATTAACGTCCCTTGATAAAGCTAGGCCAAGCCTAAAAATGTTGTCATAACGCAGAGATGTCGGAAGATTTTGGTAAGGGAAAGGGTGATAGCTTTAGGGGTTCCCAAAACCTTCAGTACAGAGTCGGTTATCTTTCACAATCTTCTATAATTTTCAATGGTTTTCTGAACTCTATAAAGGAGTTTGCACCCCTCCCCACCTTGTAATTTCATGAATCTCAGATGGTATTCAAAGATGAATCCTTCTATATTAATCCGACCTACAGTTGTTGGTGATAAATCTGAGTAAACATCTCCCCGTCTGATGTCAAGCTCAGTAAATCCTACCTCCAAATATTTGTATAATGATGCTAAACTGGCGTAGCGGATGCTAAACTTTTAGGGAGGGGGGGCGGGGGTTAGTACGGATCTTGTCTGAATACTATTGCTTCATTTAAATAATATTGTTCGAAAGGGGCCTGAAATTGTTGTAATATAAGTTTAGAATAAATATCGTTGCTCTTTTGTTCTTAATATTATTATGCTGTCCGTAGTCGATATTGGTTTTTAAGCACGCTTAGCTGCATCTTGTTGTCTTAAAGTAATTGATTGATGGATTTATTGTTTATCTCAGTCGGAGTTGGGAGGGGCGTGCTGATGGGTTTTTAGAGAGAGAGGAATTGCGATCGAGGAGTTGGAGTTGTCAAGGACGTTTTCAAGTCGTTTTAAAGTTGTCAAGATCGTTCGTTGTCAAGAGGGGAATTAATTATAATAATAACTTGTAAATAGTATACATATATATCTATCGTGTTTATTTCATTGTGGATTTTACTACCATACACCGACCAGCCTTAAAAAGCACAACAAAATGCTATGAAATTTGCCTTATTAGAGGGGCTACAGTGCCCTAGGCCCTATGTCTCTTACACCTACGGTAATTTTTGTAACCTTTACAGGGGTATTTCTTTTATATTAAATGAAGTTATGGAATCTAATACTAGTTTCTTGATATCTTGGGTTCCAAAACGTCAAAAGGTTGCCGAGAAATAGGGGTGCTTTAGAAGGAGTTGAAACTCTGGAACCCAAGGTACCAGACAGCAAGCTCTTAAAAGCAGCGTGCCTGTACGAGAAGCAGGCTTCAGGGGGGAGGTTTTTCGTTGCTTCGTCTAAACCAATCAACGTATAAGTAACTTGGTTTATACCAATCAAATCGCAGAGCAGCTGATTTCCTGTCAGCAGTTCATCAGCAGTTTTACCGATCGTTCATGTAACCGCCACGCCGTCTCACCTTCATGTCCAGTTTTGCCCGCTCTGTTATATAGTATCATCTTCTCTTACTTCCCTATAAATAAACTTGAATCTAAGCACTTTTGGCCTTTTGGCTACACTCCTGACGATTCTATTTTTTTCCCCCATAGAAACCTACTGCCTTACCGGCGATTTCGAGCGAGACTTCTGTGAGCTCTGCTCGAGAAACGATGTTCCGGCCATAAAAATTGCTCCACGTCCGCATCGTCCATCATCCCCGGTCGCACAACATCCGGACACAAGTATGAGCAAAGGAAAGGAGTCGAAGGAAGGTATGTTATTTTGGTTGATTGAATAAATAATCCTCAAACGCTAACGATGCTCAAAACATGGGTTTGTGAGCTCCTTGGGTGTGTTGGAGGTCTAATCGGGAATTTGCATAAGGAAATGAGAAGTAAGGGTTCATAACGGCTACCTCTTGTAAAATTTTCGAGCTTTTAGTTTCCCTGGTATTTAGATTCCACAACATATCCTGTGAGTAGTGACCTTAAATCTTACTTCATTTTCACCTCCTTGACTACTACCTGTAAGATTGGATATTTTGGCACTGGACTGCAAATATATTGATAGAACTTTCAGCAACACAACCAGACATAGACTCAAAATTATTTGGTTATCTACACCCCCCCCCCTCCCTCTAAATAATTGAATCTGTCGGTTCAAAACAAAACTATGGTTAGGATATGTATACATGACCTTTGACTTGTATGAGCTACCAACGTTATGACCCTTGAACTCCATGACCTTGTGTCTTGATGACATCTGACCAATCATGATCGAGAGATTCTGTCTTGAATAATGGTAGAATTTTCTCTCCAATCCAGTTGGTCATTCTAATTGATAATTGGTCTTAATTTTAAAGATAAAAATTTTTTCCTAAGTAAGAGTTTTTAGCAACCTTATCCATTAAATGCAAAACTTACCCGTTTCACAGATCGAAATCGAGGCCACCAGGCGCACCAGCCTCCTCCTGAACCGCCAAAACCTGCAGACGATAAAGATCAAGAACTTCCACCAACAACATTTACAACAAAAGATAAATACGAGTATTTTCAACCGCGTATAGAAATTGAAAATGAAGACGAAGGAAATAAAACTCATCTGAAGGAATTTTTCATAAGAGGTGAGAAATACCTATGAAAATAAATCATTTGATATTTGATATTTATGACATTTTGATCTTCATATCTTTGAGCTTCAAGACCGTTAAGCTTCAAGCCATTTAATCTTAACAACCTTTGAACTCCACGACCTTTGATCTTCCTAGCATTTGATCTTAACGACCTTTGAACTCCACAACCTTTGAACTCCACGACCTTTGATCTTCCTAGCATTTGATCTCTCTGACATTTGATCTAACGACCTTTGAACTCCACAACCTTTGAACTCCTCGACCTTTGATCTTCCTGGCATTTGATCTTAATGACATTTGAGCTTCAAGCCATTTGATCTTAACGACCTTGGAACTCCACGACCTTTGATCTCCCTGACATTCTATCTTAATGACCTTTGAGCTCCGTGATCTTGGTGACCTTACATCTCATTGATTTTTGACCGTTGCCTTTCAATGTAACTTTTAAAATTCTATTCACACAATTTTTGACTGAAAATTGATCGTTAGGTTCTACATATATGCAATTCTGACGACTCAAACGTAAGGAACAAAAATCAACTTGATAAAATAACAGCAGAATAACATCTCTTCATGTTAATATTTTTTCTTGATATTGTAATAATCTAAGTGTTTTGTTTTTCCTCAAATCCTTCTTTTATTTTATTCATAATTTTAATCAAATTATTTCAGGTTGGAAAGTTGACGCCAAGGTTCTTGAAGTTTTATCTATGACCTTACCAAAACAAGACCGACTTGTCTCGATAAAGTAAGGCTATCTTCAATTTACTCTCTCTTCTTCTATCAACGTGTTGTTGATAAAATATTAAAGTTTTATTTATCATTTCTTCCAGTCTACCTTATAGGGATTGAGGCCATGTTCCCCCCACCCTTAAGTGTTGTCCATGTTTCAAGCCCCGCTATTGACATTTCTTTTACACACTTTCATAGAATGTAAAACGCCAAATTGTAATTTAGTATGTCACACTTGACAGTAATTTGGTCAATTAGTTGTCTATGATATTTTATAGTTTTTCTTATAGTTTTAACAATGGAGGGCTTCTTGAAGTCAGTTTTGCTGAATGGCTACCCTCCTCAAACATTTGAAGGAAACTTTAAGGTTTAAAGTTTCTTTGGTTTAAAGGCATTGAGTCATGGTAAATGCGCCTTCTCTGTAGGGTGTCATTTGCTTTCAGCGTGGTCACTGAAAATTAATGTAATAACTGAATCCGTTGTTGACAACTTGCTTTTGACAGAAGCTGTTTTGTAGATCAGTACGAGGCAACCCCATGTGATCAGTTTCAGGCCAACCAATAGCACTGCAGCATGAAAATCGTTGCATACTGCGCATACTTGGGTATACCCTCTCCTTTAGTCATGACTCAATGCCGTCAATGCATGATTCATTCAGATCGGTTTTAGAATTCAAGTTAAGATTGGGAAGTTTTAGAAGCGCCAGTTCTTAGAATAAAGCTGTGGTTTCTTAGAATTCTTTTGCGGAAGTATTTTGTCCTTTTACCATGGCTCAATGCCTTTGACATTTGCACAAATGGGTTTAAACTGTTTGGTCTCGAGTAACGCTGCCTCTTTTTTCCATTCCAGCTTGTGGAATGCAGGGTTAAGTGATGATACATTGGAACTGTTGGCCAAGATTGTTGTCCAGTGTCATTCTCTGAAGGATCTTTGTCTCGATGGCAATGCATACATTCGACAGCACCATTATGATCTCTTCCTTAAAGAAGAATGCAGGTGAGGTGGCTCTTTATTAGGCCGTAGTGTCAATCAAATAGATGTTTATGACCCCAAAACATAGCCAGCTGTCAATCATGCATTCAACACCACAAAAATGGTCAATCCATTAAGGAGAAATGCACCTTATAAGGATGTTGTGTCAATCAAATTGACATGTACGACGCTGACACAACCCAAGCTGTAAATCAGCTATTATCTTTTGCTTTCTTTTTTGTTTTCATGTCAATCAAACGGAAGCTAGACAGCTGTCCGAATAATTTTAGTCGTGTCAGAAGTTCATCAGAAGCCCTATATAAATTTGACGCAAAGAGTTCATTAAAACTATGGATTTGAAGTTGGTTTCAGAAGACAATACCATGCTTACTTCTCTGAAATGTTTCTGTTGTTTATGTTCTTGTCAAAGTTTTATTTCATTTGTCTGTTTATATTTCTAATATTTTGTTGTTGAGCGCTCTCTTTATGATTTAAACTGAGAGAACATGTTTGCAAGTTACGAGACGAGGGTCTATCCAGTTAGGGGTATCTGTGACTCCCCTCTCCCTCTTTCGTGTTGGAACCCAGGGACGTAGAAGCTGAAAGTGCACCAGGGTTAGGTGCCCCTCCAGCTTTTGGAAAAATTCCGTTTTTTGAAACCTCTTTGAAATTGTCCCCCCTATTTTGTGTTGTGGTGACCCTCAGTCCTGTGCCCCTCCAACCTCGAAATTCTTCTGACGTCTCTGGTGGAACTACTTCCTTTTAGCAGGTCCATTGTGCCTTGCGATGGACGCTATGATGGCTCCCCAGAACAATTGGAAGAGGGGGGGATAGTTTGTGTGTGACTAGAAAGGCTTTGGGCTTTCGTTTGGAAAATAAGAATTTGAAAACAAAATGCCCAACTTAAGTTAATCTTTGTATAAGAGTTAGATCTTGTTACGGCTCTTGTTAATCAGCCCCCAGCCCTCAGTTCAGCCCCTTTTTCATGAGTCTGCTAATGATTACTTGGTAGAGTATACCGTAAATCCTCGAATAGCCCTCCCCTTGAATAAGCCCCACCCTAGAACTACAAATTGTCAGTAAGCCCCCCTCCTCGAATAAGCCCCCACTGCTACCGTAAATTCTCAAATTGGACCCCTCAATTTGATGATTTTTGCCATCTGAGGTTGCCTATGGCGTTTTATTGAATTACCACAACAAATTAATACTTTTGGTAGTAATTAATTAAATGCTCATAACGAAATACCTTCTAAAATGAACGAGGTCTTTTAATAATGTCTTCTTAATGTCTACAATAATTTTATAAGCCCCCCCCCCTCCCCTCGAATAAGCCCCCGTCCAAAAATACGAGGATTTACGGTAAATGATGCGTTTGATCTCTCCCGCAGCGTACAAAATCTCTCCCTAAAGAACTGCTACGTGAACGACATCGGAGCTGAGAACATCGCCACTGCACTTGCGGACAACAAGAATCTAACGACCTTGAATCTGTGTTTCAACAAGATAACATGCACCGGAGCAGAACACCTAGCCAAGGTAATATTGTGTTTGATAAAAAAACACAGACTTTCGTTTCACATATACGGCCTTATGACGTATATACGAACTCAGCAATTAATATCTTAATTCAACTCCACATCAAAATCCCTCTTAACTCGACGAAGCCCAAGCAAACAACGATTATTCTCCACGCTTCCCTCCTCAAAACAATGTTACTGAAAATACCCAGATGTCCTTCAAATGCTGTTCACAATTCTCGAAGCCATCGATATCTGTATTTAACAACACCACTACATCACACATTACCCAAAGTTATTGTACATCAACACACACCAGCACATAGCAAGTAAGACTTCCGCATAATATTGCATTCCACACATCTTCGTAACACCCTACCCCGCCCTTCACCACCGAAATTTATCATTACAACTCCACATCAGCCCACACTACCCCCACCCCACACTACACCAACTACCCCAAACTATACCCGCCTTACAGTACCCAAAGCTCCTGAACATCTCTGTTCTCTACGCCACACGATACGACTCTAAACCCCTATCATTACTGCAAACCATCCCACATCAACCCGTACTACCCTGCTCAAACCCATTATATGCCACTCCATCCCCACAAAACCCCACTGCAACCCCCCTACCAAACCTGAAGCCACTGCATACCCCATACCAGCTCAAACTGCCACGCTCCATACTACCCAAAACCTCCGAACATCACTGCTCTCCACCCAACACCAATCCGCATAACCCCACCGTACAAAACCACATCATCCTTGCATGGAGGACAGCTGGCAGGAATCTGTTTTGAAAAGAACTTTTATAAAATACATCTTGATAAAGTGAAATATGAACTTTGCTGCGATTTTTAAATATGCGTTGATGGAAGGCGTAATATGTACTGTTTTTCATTAAAAGCCATTTAATAAGGCAGTTTATTTTGTGTCATCATTGTTGCAGCGCGCAGTATCAAATCATATTGATTCGGCTCTCTTTCACAGTTAAAGCGTAGTTTTGAAGCACGTTACAAGAAGAATGTAAATTGAATGGAGCGATTTTGCACTTAGATTCGCTGTTCAGACAACACGGTGTTCCAAAATTGTGTTCTACCCACAGAAGATATTTCTCATTCTCTCTGTTGCTTTTATGTTGTAATAGTACCTCATCTTGAACTCTTCTGTGCTGTCAATCTCCGTATTGTTTACAGCACTAGGAGAGTCATTCATCCATTAAAAAAGATTTCGTTTATACCACCTAGAAGAGTCCTGTTGTTTATGAATTTACGCGCGAGTTTGATTCTAGCAACGTAGAACGCACAACCCACAGATTGGGGGATAGGTTAAAACAACATGTTCCTTCCAACATAAGAAACAGAACTGCCCCTCAAAGAGAACAGCCTCCTCAATCTTGTAGGTCTAGAAACACTGTTAAAACAAGTGATTCTGCCATCGGTCAACATCTTTTAGACAACCCAGATTGTGCAAAACTCTATAACGACGACATGTTTCAGAAAGTAGGGAGAGCCCGGTCGTCTTTCCATCTAGCAGTTTTAGAATCGATCTACATACAAACGAAAAAGCCGCCATTGTGTAGACAGAAGGAGTTTGTTTTCTCTCTTGGACTCCAGTGGTAATTTTTCTTTAGGCACGCGGCACTGATTGGTCAACTATACCAGTCTCGTGCTTGCGTTTTTCTGATTGGACTATTTCGATCCACAACTGGGTATATATTTTTCATCGTGTTCTTTCGGAACCTTATTCTGATGTTTTATGCTCTGAGGAGTGTCAGACGAAAAAGCATTTGGCCAATATGTTGTAAAATGTTTGCTTTTTTCAAAGCCATTTTTAAATTCTTCTTGAGTATTTTGCAAATATCACAATATTTTGCAAAATACTCTTTAATAAGCTATCATCTCAGTACAATACGACATTGTACAGCGATAGATTTTACCTGTTAATCTGTGTTATTTTTTAGGGTTTGCGAATGAACAGATCCTTGCTGTCGCTTAATTTAGGAAGCAATCTTATTGGGGAAAGAGGTGCTGCAAAGCTTGCCGAGGTATGGGAAAATACAAAAAACAAATAAATATTTAATATCATATCTTCAAGGTATTTATCAAGAAATTCCTACCAGTTTCACCAAGCTACAACATAAATTACGGATATAAGTGCTTATAAGGAGATAAAAATTGTAAGTTAACATTTCATTCTAAACAAATCATTTTGTAACTACTGCTTGTCCTTGGCATCATGTCTTGAAAATTTTTAGTTTCTCTTTGAACATTGAGACTGTGGAGCTGTTTCTTTTCTGTAGAGCAAACAGCATGTCTCTTCACAAAGAAACATTAAGTTCCTTCTTGGGATGTCTATTCGAGCACTCAAAAATGTTTTTAAATCTTCAAAAAACTAGTTTTTAAGGTGTGGTTAACTATCTATTTGATAAATTTGATTTCCCCTATTTCTGGATTTTCATAGTTTTCTGTGAAATCTAAAAATTTGATTTATCTTTGTATGATCGCAATTTTCTCTAAAACTATGCAAGAAACTGAATTCAAAATTCAAAAAAAGAAACATTAAGTTCCTTCTTGGGATGTCTATGTTAAGACCATTTCTTTTCTTATACCAAAGATATTTGTCCCCTTTTTTGTCAGGGACTGTCTCTTTGTCTGGACCATTTTGATACATTACTGATTATACAAACTTAGATCCTGAATGAAGCGGGTTGTACTGTAGATTGCTAATAAGAGGGCTTACACATTATTGGCTATATTTCGACCAATCATTGTCCCCTAATATATCAGGTGACACACGAGGTCGTTAAAAGAAATTGGATCAATTATGTTGGCCTAGACCAAATGCTGATAGAATTTAATCAAGCGGCAAAAGGTCCCGTCTGATTGGCTAGTTTTAGACCAATGGGAAGCTCTTCTCTATTAAAAAGCTATTTGAGAATCAATGTCTTATGTTACAGCGCCATTTTCCAGGGAAGAAAAATCTGAGTTATGTAACAGAGACTACAAGGCATTTATATTTCAACTTTAAATAAATTTCGATTTCTTGTTTTCTGTCATTTAGTCACTGTCAAGATTTGCTTTGACACACAAAGAAGTTGTTCAAAGGCGCATGCTGTTATCAAAGAAATCAGCTGATGAGGTATATGTTTCGCAATGTTTGATTTTATGAATATATTTATTAAGTGATAGATGAAAGAACGAAGTGATGGGTGAAGATATAGAATAAATGATAAATTAAATAGGTGACTTCATTTCATTTTTAATTAATTTGCAATGAAATGAAATGATGTGTTAAGAACGAAATGAAGGATGATTGTATTGAATTAAGAAAGAAATCAATGATGGACTAATGTATTAGATGATTGATAAAGGTATAAAGGTATTTATTTCTGTTCTTCCTATCTGTTTTCGCAGCCTTCAAGCCCCACCCGTGGCATTGGCCCTGTCAGCTCCTCTCAGCGACCACCAAGTGTGAAAAGCGGGTATGTATACCATTGTTAACTTACAAAAGAACACCCATGTGTAACAAGCCTGGGAAAAACACTCCCTGTTCAGGCACCGCGGTGCAGGGGGGCTGGGGGCTTTAGCTGCCAAATAGTAAGTATCAAATTACCAGAAAAGCGTCTTTTTATACGGTTTTAGCCCCCCGACTTTTTTAGACCCCCCACTTTTTTAGACTCCCGACTTTTTTTAGACCCCCTACTTTTCTCAATGCTCCGCGGTGCCTGCTGTTAAGACATTTCCCGACCGATGGATTCCCCTTTCGAAAAATCGAGCGTCCCCTAAATTGTCCCTTGCCCCATGTCCAATACAAGATTTTTCTATCCCCAGTTAACCTCAAGTTCCCCCATTTGGCACATCATCTCACCCTCATCCAGTCAAATGCAGGACATCCCATCCCCTGTCCTGTTTACTTGCGATCCCCCGTAAACAAAAAAGCTCCCCGGGCTTGTTACACAAAAATATAAAAGATTTTCAGCATTTAAGTACTTTTTCACGGAAGTTAGGCTCAAAATGCATCTTTTTTTATTTTTGCATGAAATCAGGAAAAGATTTCCAATATTGCGTATATCAAAATGTTACGTGAAAGATTTCCAATGTTCCAAAAATTTTGTAAATTCTTGATCATTACAATCTTTGCAGGCTTTCCAAACTAAAATTACACTTTAGAAGTTTTTTTAATTCAAAACTGGCTCAAAGCTTGTTGATCTCGTCGGCTGTCCAATCACCGGAGTTTTCAATGGGTACAACTTACCAATTCCAAGCTAAAAGTGCCAGGTTTTGGCTTGCTTGAGCCAAAAGTGCAAAAATGAGATTGGTATTCAATTTTTGACTATTTGGGGGAAAATTCAAGGATATTTCCCTTGTGAAATACCTGCTGCCCCTGCCAATTAGTTACTTGGTATCCCCGGGAAAAAAACTTCTTTGGGGCTCCATGGTGTTTTTCTATTCATAATAATTGCTCGTAATTGATTTACCATCTTGTAGGAGCCACCTTAAGGACGACAAAAAGTCACAGGGAAACAAGGGCGCTGCAAAAAAGAAAGATACGTTGCAGAAATCGCAAAAAGATTCAAGCTCGAAAAAGGGTAAAAAATATCATTTTATTATTATTATTGCCACCAGCGTCTATATGTTCTTTTCATGATCAATCGTCATTAATCGTGATTATTCATGATCAATCGTCATTTTCCCAACCAGTAAACATAATCATAATCATCAATCAATATCTTATTTGCCATTACCATCAATAATAAATCGCGATGATCATCTTTATTATCATTGCTCATCGATCAATCAACATCATCGATCAATCAACATGATTAGCAATCATAATCATATCAAAATCGCTACTAACAATGATCAATCCTCATAATCTCCAATCACCAATCATCATCAATCAATCAAGAATCGTCATCGATCAATCATGAATCGTCATCGATCAATCATGATTCGTCATCAATCAATCATGAATCATCATCGATCAACCATGAATCATCATCAATCAATCATGAATCATCATCAATCAATCATGAATCGTCATCGATCAACCATGATTCGTCATCAATCAATCACGAATCATCAACAATCAATCATGAATTGTCATCAATCAATAATGAGTCGTCCTCGATCAATCATCAATCGTCATGATCAGCGAAATCATCGTCTTCATCTTAATCATTTTTGTCACCTCGCCCTCATATTCTTTACCTGATTTATGATTGTGTATTTCTAAGCATATTATCTTTCTCATTTGAAGCTTCTTCAATCGATATACCCATGAAGGGATCAACGAAGTCCCAGAAGAAAACAGACAAAACCAAACCAGACAAAAAGGGACAAACACAAAGCGACCATGAGGTATTTATATCCAACAAATCTCCAAAAAAAAATTCTATTTATCTTTTAGCATTAAACGTATAGAATTCTCTTCCAAATGAAGTAAAATCAGCCAAAAATGCAAGTCAATTCAAAGTTCTTATAAAAGATTGGCATTTTTAAAATCAATTTGCCTGTAACGCTTGCAGTCAATGACTTCCATAATGCAATCACTTAAATTGCTTCATGTTAGTGTTTATTAGTGCTCACACTATTGTCAAACTAACAGTTAAAAGGGTATTATCTTTATTATTAAAAATTGAAATAATAAATAGTCTCTAGAAATTATTAAAAATTCCACGACTGTCAGTCGAAAGAGGGTTATCTAACGATCTTCTAACGATGCTATAGGTTTAAGGAAGACCCATGCGTAACTTGACAGAAATTTAAAGTAACTAAAATTTGCAGTGTGCTAGAGTTTTTCATATATATATAAATTCAGGGATCTGACTGTTGTGCTTGAACTTTACTTTTAATTTTACTTAAAATTCCATTTCCAGGAAACTTTTTTCAAAAGATTACAAAGATTTTTTTTCAAAAGATTACCACCAGGAAAATCTTTAGCAAGGCAAAAAGAGCAAAATTTCATCCGGAGGAAGTAGGAGGTGGTTTCTGTCCAAAAAAGTGATGTTCAGCCATAGGTCAAGAACCTAGTGTTTGCCGAAATATTGCACTGCATTTAAACTCCGACATGATTTGAGCAAATAGAGTTATCTCTCTTTATTCTCACTTCCCCATCTCTCTACACATCCATTTTTTAAAACTTCGTTCTCAGTTTGATAAATTAAACATTTCTGCAAAGTGTTTCATTTCTATTCCAGTGACCTAAACCTTTCGTCTATTTTTAAAATATTTTTCTTCAAAGTTTGTTTTTCTCTTCACTGTTTGTTTTTCGTTTCAGTCACCTGAACTTTTCGAGTTTCCACATCCACTTCTCGAAACAGCAGATGAAATTAAAGGAGAACTTTGGGTTCCTGGAAATCGAGCACTCATCAACCTCAACCTTGCTAGTATGTGTTTTTATCAAATTTGAAGATTACATAAGTACAGTTATATACAATATAATATAATACGATATAATACAATACTATACAATACAATACAATAGAATAGAATACAGTACAATATTATACAATACAATACTGTTTCGAATTCAATACATTACAATAAAATACAATGAGATACGATACGATACAATACAGTACAATACAATACAATGCAGTCTCAAATACAATACAGTTTCGAATACAATACAATACAATACAATTCAATGCAGTCTCAAATACAATACAGTTTCGAATGCAATACAATACTATACAATACAATGCAATTCAGTGTCGAATACAATACATTGCAGCACAGTATTGAATACAATACAATACAATACATTCAAACTCACGTACATGAGATCTCCTCGGACCATACAAAATATCCCGACTTATGCCAAGCCTGACTTCACGTAACTCTGATATTTTCCGACTAACGCAGTGATTGGATGATTTTAAACCGATAAACCGTAGGAAGCATCACAGCTGAAGGATATAGATTGTTTCTCAATAGAGCCATGAAGATGATAATGTCATCGCATAACAACTTATGCGATGCTAATTTCAGGGACTTCAGTAACGGTCCGACTTATGCAATAGTCCAACTTGTAGAATACGACAATAATCCGTCCGACTTATGCAATAGTCCAACTTGTAGAATACGACAATAATCCGTCCGACTTATGCAATAGTCCAACTTGTAGAATACGACAATAATCCGTCCGACTTATGCAATAGTCCAACTTGTAGAATACGACAATAATCCGTTCGACTTATGCAATAATCCAACTTGTAGAATACGACTCATGCGGTGAGAATTTAAAGCTTTTATAGCAAAGAGACAGGTACCAAGAATTTTTGTCTGAGTTACTAGTTATCCGACTTATAAAGTTAGCTAAAGCAAACATACAACACAACAAGGTAAAATTGACTACAATCAAGTACATAATAGATGCATGAAAGAAATATGTTTTTGTTTGCAGGAAACAAAATTCCAATCGACGGTGTAAGGGAATTCTATCAAGCCATACAATACCAGATATCTCTAGCCAGCCAAACGAGCAAGACCATTGGGATTGGACTTCTTCGGCTATCGTTACAGGTAAGATCGATCTAATTGATTTCAAATATTTAAGCAGGACTGCCCTTCGGCGTTGCTGATTTTCAAGTGGCCTTCCATTCACAAAGTTGCAGAATTAGATCAAATTTGCACAAAGAAAGAAGTATTACCTAATATGAATTTACAAATTAATAGATAGAATGATTTTTGCTTCAAAGAATAAGGTATGCATCAAAAGTTAACATTTAGAAGTTTTTTCACCTTGGTCTTAAAAGGGACATAGGTAGTGGAGTTTTTGATTGCAAACGAGCCCCATTTTGGCTCAGTTCTCCCTTTTTTGGGGTGCTTTTTGGATATTGATTTCGTAATACGTGACATTCCGCGGAGCGTGAATTGCCTTGCTCTTGAGAAGCGGCCTTTTTTACAGGATATTCCTTTTCCACTCATGGATTATCGTTTTCTTTCTCGAAGCGTAATCCCTTTGATCCTTCCGACCCAACATTCATTCAACTCAATGAAATTATGGCGACGCGAGATCCTTTCTACAAGCCACCTCCTCCGCAGAGTCCGACTAAAGAACTTGGCAAGGTAAGACTTTTTCGATTTACTAAAACTGTTTTTTCATGTATTTGTAAACAGTTTTTGCAGTGTCTTATAAATTAGGGGGCTTGACACTTTATCACTGAGTACCAGAACCCAGGAATTTAGGTTGGGAAGCATCTTTTAAAGGAAATTTGCTATACATATTTCTCTACTCTCACATCCCCCCGCCCTTAAAATGCTCTTCCCCTTCCCATTTTCCAGCTTCTTTGACGCCGAGTATGAAATTTCTGAGCTTTGATAACCGAAGGGGTTCTGTCAAATTGGCCTGGATGTTTTAACGTGGAGGTAAATAATTTTGGGAAAGCTCACTGAAGACATAAAACAGGGAAGTGACGAATCAGATACCGTAATTGAATCTAATATACGGTATTTTACATTTAAATAAGGATAGAAAAGAAACTTGAGACAATTGAGCCACATTCTGAATTCAAGTTAAGTTTTAAGATTATTTCCAGAATTTCAAAGTTTTTGATAATAAAATTTGTACAGGCATTATCAAATTACAATCCTAGTTGTGAAAAATACGGATCAATCAGTCTGAAATTTGCTGAGATATAAACGAACAGGCAGAGAGCATGTTCTCGGTTATTGATAATCCATTAGCAAAATCCATTAGTTTTTTCTTCCTTTTTGTCAGTCTCTTGAACACTTTTCTCGTAGTCAATCTTGTTCTTCAAAAGATCTTCTTTGTGTTCTTTAGGACAAATGTAAAACATATGCAATTTTTTTAAAAGCGTTTTTTCTGAATTCATCAAACAGCAGCTATTATTTCTCTATTTATTCATAAGTGAAATTCTAATAAGCATTTTCAACTGCAGCCGCTCGTGAGCTCTTCCAGATGGCTTAAATTCTTTCTCTGAACGAAATCTTAATTGAAGCAAGCAAATTGTAGCGATTTTTGCCCTTATCAACGACTGTGTGGGAGGCCATTTAATTGTCGAAACTTAAGAATAATTGCAATATCCCAATCCTGCATTGCTCTCATTGTGATCTCTGATGGACATTTTGAGATGTTTAAGGTATTGGCCAGAGGAAGGATTGACATTTTTGACTCTAAATTTATCAAATGTTGATAAAAAGTGAGGACAGCTGCTGTAACAATGAAGTGCTACACAAGTAATCTGCTCTGCTCTTGTTGTTCATCTGAGGGAGATTTTGAAATGTTTGAGGTATTATCCGGAGAAATGATAGCACTTTTTGGCACTGCATTTAACAAGCGCCGATAAAAATTAGAAAAACAAATATAGAAATGATGTTCTAAGTCAGAACTCTGCTCTCATTGCTCCTCTGATATCTTTGAGGTATTTTGGACTCATTTTGCAGTCTTCAGTTTTTGTTCAGAAATGCTCCTTCGATAGTCTTGGAACCGAAATCCTTTGTTTTCAAATTGTCAAAGGCGTCTCCCAGTCCCCGCAAACCGATTTAACTTTGTGTTATTTAAAGCGCTCAGCAGTTGTGAAACCGATTCTTGTTATATATTTATGTATTAAGGCGGTGGCCGGCAGAGCAAAGCGGCCTTGACTGTGGGGCATTATCCTTAAATTTGCAGATTTTTTAAAATATTTCATAGTAAAGGTATCCGGGGATGTGCTGCGAGTAAGGGTACACTTCTTTTGTCTTCTAGCTTAGTTCAGGGTATACTTTTTGCAATTTTGATCCGGTCTAGCCCAGGATATATTATTTGAAAATATTGATCTAGGGAATGGCCTTTGAAAGTAGGAATTTCTTCCTGATAAATCATTTCTGTTGATAAAAAACAAATAAATGAAAACAACCCTCGTTCACATCAGACTTTACCAGGCCCCTTTCAAACCCAAATGCAACCCGGTTGAACGAGGCCATTGCGAACTTCTGCAGGGATATCTGCCACATAATGACATCCCACCACCTGGACCTGGCCAAAGAGGAGAAGGCCAGAGCCACACAAGTCCGGTCTGAAATGAAAGAATAATAAATCGACCTTTGATATTTCCGAATTTAAGCCAACAGTTTTGAACCAAGATCGTTTCTCAATAGCATAGAGTATCCCTTTTGTAGAGACTGGGCTAGCCACGGGTACCATTTTGGATGAGCTCGCAGCAGACCCGTATCAAAAATTTAGCCAAGAGCCTTCCGATGTTGAGGGAGAGGTCCCAGAATGCGGAATATTTTTTGTGTGCGCAGGGAATTATTTCCTGCCGCTTAAGCTTGCGCGGGAAAAAATCATGTTGCAAAATAACAGATTAAAAACTGCTGAATTTAACTTTCAAATAAAATTTATAAGCCTTATGGTTACGATGTGTGCAGGATTCACACAAACATTCATGTTGCAATTCTGCGGATGAATCTAATTTTGCAAAAATGCGCGGACGTAATTTGAGCAAAAATTATTGCGCGGGGAGCGCGTTCCTGTGCACACTCAAACTTTGCTGTCTGGGAGGGGACTAATTTGGAGGGTTTGCGATTATGTACTGTTTCCTAGAGATAAAGTATTCTAAAACATCAAACATTTGCGCAAGTTTTAAACATTGTTTTGTTTTTGCAGGATGATAACTAGAGGAAGGACAACGACGAATAATTATTAAAAACACATGTATTTGCGAAACAAACTTTAAAGAAACTTTCAGTGTTTCAATGTTTTTATGTAAATATGTTTAGAGTAACGCACAACAGATTGATGTCAATTAATGAGCGCAGTGTACTCTTTTCTTCCTCAAACAAAGTTTGCAAACTTAAGAATATCACGGTAACCTTCAAGAGAGATGTGAAACACAGTTTGCAAAGTGAAAAGAGTTTCAGCGTGGTTTGTAAAGTGAGGAGGCTCTAAACGTTGTTTAGAATCTGAGAAATTGGATACTCACTTTGAGTGAAAAGTCAAACAGTTTGAAAAATGAGGAGATTTCAACCGCAGTTTACAAACTTAAGAATATCACGTTTACCTTCAAGAAAGATGTGAAACGCAGTTTGCAATAAGGAAGCTCTAAACGTTGCTTAGAACCTGAGAAATTTGATACTCACTTTGAGTGAAAAGTCATAAACAGTTTGAAAAATGAGGATATTTCAACCGTAGTTTGCAAACTTAAGAATATCACGTTAACTTCAAGAGAGATGTGAAACGCAGTTTGCAATAAGGAGGCTCTAAACGTTGCTTAGAATCTGAGAAATTTGTTACTCACTTGGAGAATTTTAGAATGGCATCCCTGAGTACTATACCTCACTAATTGGGTTGTTTACAACCATTACAGTCAAGTGTGTTCAAACTGGTTTATGAGCAAAATCTGAAACACTGCCTTCAACTCAATTATCTTTGTCATGGGCGTTCTGCTAATATGCATAAATTTGCTAAAATTGTCGATTGCTTTTCTGTTATTTTCTCTTGTTGACATTGGCTCATCTATACGTTGTAAATACTAGAGTTGAGAGCTCTGTAAATTGAAGTAGTCCAGAAGCTCTCTTGTTATTACTTATCTTTGCGTTCAACTTTTCTTCTGATTTCTTTCCATGTTTATTTGGAGGGAAAAAGTCATTAAAATGTCACAATGTTTTCAAAAAGCTTGCCAAGTTCAGCTGCAGTATGCCATAACGAGGTAGCGTGCAGTTTGCCTGCTTGAACAAACCAAACTTTTTCAATAATTTGGCGCCACAAGTCAGTTCCAAATTTTATGCAATATTGAAGAAAACAAACACAGGATTTATGGGAGCAAACTTTCCTCCGTTATCAAATTCACTATTTGTCATTTCATAGTGATGTGACGAGGAGACTTCTACAATTTTATGGACACTCTTATGAAGTTTTATAAACACAATATTTTATAAAGTTATTTGGCTTATGTTCAGTAGCACTTTATAAATGAAACAAGTGAGAGCAAATTTTTATCAAAGACAATATTTTCAGCTAAGTGGCTAGTAGGTTTTTGCAATCATTCCTATTTGTTGTTGAAAATTCCTCTTTTTCATCGATTACAAAATAGTTAGTCTACAAAATAACATTGTAAAACTAAACTAATCTAAATCAATGGCTAAATTAAATTTGAAAATATGTTGGTTGAAAACGCTACGTTGGTTAAAGTTAAGTTTAAAAAATCTTACAATTTTCTGCGTTTTTTTATGTACTATTTACAACAAAACAACAGGCATTGCAGTTGCACGTAGGACCATTCCATTTTTTTATCCCATCCAATATTCTTCCCATGTTGTGTATTCGGTACATATCAGGCACCGCGGAGCGTTGAGAAAAGTGGGGGGTCTAAAAAGTGGGGAGGGGGCTAAAACCGTAAAAAAGAGGCTTTTCTGGTGCTTTGATACTTAATATTTGGCAAAAAATGGGGGGCAAAATGTGGGAGCTAAAGCCCCCCAGCCTCCCAGCCCCCCCTGCTCCGCAGTGCCTGCATACACAGAACTTGTCTAATGACTGCGTTAGGTCTTAAGATCAGAGATGCAAATCAGAGCCGTCCTGCTCTGTACACCAAACTTGGATATGATAGGCCTAGTAGCTATGGTCTTTCACCACGAACTTGTACATAATACAATCTCATTTTGTCTGGATCTGTCCCTTCAATCTGTACTATGCTCTAAGGTCCTTGGGCAAGAGCTGTAAACGCCATTTTGCGTTATTCCGCCCTCTGAACATGCCCGTTCTTTTTCGTAAGGTTGCGGGATGGTTCTGTGATCGCAGCATAACTGGGCCTAGATTGAGACCCTCAGGTCGACTTTCCCAATAACTGCGCACTTCTGTTTACTTTGTGGGCGTCAATGCTTTTGCAAGTGTTTCTTGGACTCTTTCCTTCTTTTCTTCAAGCAGAAATCTAAAAAAATCAAGGTGTTCCCTCAAAATATATATTTCTTTTAAATTTCAGTGTAAGATTTAGTCCTTTCAAACGTTTAAAATTACGTTCAGATTCTTGTTGTGCTCCTGCACATCTTCTAAAAAATCGAAAATTTCGTCCGCAATTTTGCAAACACTACAATACTATCCCGCCACTAAAAAACTCTTTTTTTTAAAGATAGCCTGTTTGGTTTCTTACACGTGAACAATAGAATAAACAGGTTAGATAATTTCTTTTAGCTACAGCAATAAACTCCCCAAAAGTGCATTTGGAAAGTCATTGAGAATTAGTCTAGCGTTGCTGATTGGATACTTAACAATAGGTCTTTTGTGTAGTTCAACCAATGGGAAATTGAAATGGTCAGTGAAATGGATCGGGGCAAAGTGCCTTTAAAGGCAATTTGTCCCCCATTGTTCTCAGAATCTCTTTTCATGGCCACGATATTCATGCATTGTTAGTTTAATCACAATTGGCACGGATAGAAAACGAGGCTAATAAATTATCCAATTGGAGGTGCTTTGAACATGGTGCTTCGAGCTTTTTTCTATCAGATTTTGCGCGCATTCTCGTTTCTCGCCCACCAGAAGAGAAAAACAAAACAATACGGAAAAATTTTTTACAACTTTATTGACAAAATTAGCGAACAGGCATCAACTTATGGGAATAATTTATTCTCGATATAGATTGAGGCAGCGTCGCCTGCTGGAAACGCTTCACCCTCTTCCTCCTCATTTGGGTAGGCCGCTTTAAAGTTTTTATAGATGTCCTCGTACTTAGAACGAATAGGCTCCCAGTCCTGGCCATCGGATAACTTCGAAGTTTTGTACTCCAGCGTGATCTTCAGGAGTAGGGCCATTTATTAATCGCTCCAAATAAACATTTTGTTACCAATTTACGAATTCGAAGCCATTTTGTTGTCGTTTTTCCCACAAATTTGCCGCTATCAACGCTATTTTCTTTAAGTTGCTAATGATATAAGCATGTACGTTCCTCTCTAAGGGCCGATCTTGGATCGATCCCGTGTAAACACATAATGTTTTTGGATCGATCCACAGGCCAACCCGATTTTTTCCACAGGCACACCCCCTTGGGGCCCGATCCTATAAATTACTCCAGGGCCCGAACTGGCTCTCGACGTCCCTGGCAGCTTTTTTGTTAATCTGCAGTCACATCTGTTCACAATTTTGCCTTAAGCCCAGTTGTCCTGACAGTTTCTTTCCCAATTGTTCCACCACAAGTGCTGGGCATAATTCTTCTCTGGATTATGTTCTTTGATTGATTTATAGTCAGCGGCGTAGCAGACTAAAGTCTCCTTCAGTTCAAAAACCTAAGGCCCCAACCTTTAGGGGGCCCAGCCAAATTTCTTTGTATGTTATTCTACTGTGAATCTGGTATTCTGGATGTGATAAACGATTTCTCGGGCCCTGAGACTACATGATATAATTTAATGGAAGTCTTGAAAATGGTTTTGAAAAAAGCAAACATTTAGTAAACTAAAGCTTTTCGTCTGACACTCTTCAGTGTTTAAAACGTCAGAACATAGATCGAAAACTCTACGCTAGGAAATATATATACCCAGTTGTGGATCGAAATAGGCCAATCAGAAACACGAGCACATGACTTTTGAGGTTGACCAATCAGTGCCGCTTGCCCATTGAGAATGTCACCAATGAATTCCTAAAGTGAAAACGAACTCCTTTTGTCTACACAGTAGCGGTTTTTTCGTGCTTATGTAGATCGATTCCAAAACTGCTATGTGGAACGACAATCGGGCTTTACCAATAATCCGAAACATGTCGCCATTGTAGTTTTTTGCACAATCTGGGTTTTCCAGCTGCCCGATAGCAGAATCGCAGGTTTTAGTTGTAATTTTAGATCTGCAAGACCGAGGTGGCTGTTCTCTTTGGGGACGAGTTTTGTTTCTAATACTAGACGAAACATGTTGTTTTATTCTATCCTCCAATCTTTGGGTAGTGCGTCCTACGTAGCCAGAATCACACTGGCACGTAAATTCATAAACAGCGGAACTTTTTTGTGTGGCAGGAACGCAGTCTTTTTGAATGGACGGAAGGGTCTTTTTCGTACTGTAAACAATATAATGGAAGTTTGAAGGCTTTCTATGTTTTGTCTTTGATTTTTTACAAATGCTGAAAAAAATCTGTAGGTGCCCTTCTCTCTCGACGCTTGTATCCCCCTGCCCAAGTGATAATATTCATAGAGTTGGACCAGATACGTCGGAACTTCAAGGGGGTAGGGACATAATTCGACTAAGCCAATGCTGGGCTTATACAGGGTACAACTTTTCATTGGACGAGGGAACAAAATCCGACGGGAGTTGAACCAGTCCGACTTCTGGAAATTATGAATTATCCGGGCACGACTTTTGTTTGAATGCGGTGGGGAAACTGAAATCAGTCCGACTTGGAGAAAGTCCGAGTTATACAGGGTACAACTTTTCATTGAACAAGGAAACAAAATCAAACGAGAGTTGAATCAGTCCGACTTCTGGAAAGTTTGAATTATCCGGGTACGTCTTAACCGGATTCATATTCATTATTGAACATGTGCAGCCACGACAACTTTGAAGATTTATACTTGACAATCACGCCAAAGATCGGCCAATGAATGGCTCGTGATAATGCTACAGCTGGGTTTGAATGCTTTAGCAAAGGTATTAATATTTAAAGCCTCGTCAAAAGATACGAGTTTTGCAACAATCTGACATTCTGCTTGGTGACTCTCATACCATCGAGACACATTTTCAGGTGAGCAAATATCTTGATTTTTATCTTGGTATATTCTGATTAAAGATTCGCGTTTCTCATATAAAGAAAATGGTGTTGTTATTCCTTGCTTTTGCGAGATCATCAAGGGACAGCTTTATGCGTGAAGCTCTCCGCGAGACCGAAGACCCTGCCACGGGCAAGTCAAGTTTAATCTGCATTAACAAACATTTTTATTGCGAAAGTAATATAGATACAGGCAAAGACTATTGCTTGATTATCGTATTAAACGTGATATTTGATAGTCTATAGAACAGGACGGTTCTAAGCGGCTACTCCAAGTCTCACGCTTAATAGGATGAGCTGTCGACGGACTCGGGAGCTAGCTATTCCGACACACTACAGCTAAGAAACTAAAAACAAGTACAGCCTTGCCTTTACGGCATCCACCACTTAATGAAGGACCAATAAAAGTTTCTTTCTCAAAGGGAAAAGGGAAGTTTCTTTCACTCTAGGGCCAAAACATGGAATGAGATTCCAGGAAACATCAGAATGAGCCCCACAATTTCCATTTTTAAAAGAAACTCGAAGGGATTCCTGCAAAGTTAATAAATTCCCTAAACAAAACACGATCCCTAGGTAGAACAGCAACATCTTTATTTTATATATATTAAAGAAGTAATTTTAATAGAAGAAGTTTATTTTATTTGTATTATAGCTGATAGGGAATTCGTGTGTAAAGATTTTTCAAATGAATGAATGAAATGAACAGTGATTTTTGATAGATCTAGACATAGATGAGCAGAGGCTTGAATTCATTTTGCTCCATAGAGAAAACAGTATGTCATTTAGGGTATAAAATCTCCGTACAGTAATCTTCTTTAGTCTGACACGAAGAGGGGGCCTTACATATTGCCTACTTGCCGAATTAGATACCAAAATAGAACCAGCAGGTTCTAAACAACGATGCGTATACGTCTGGTTTTTAGGGATCATGAAACAAATCATTGAATAGAAATTATCATGTCCTAATAAACCGTGTACAACTCTCACTTTCCGATTCAAGAGCCCCGTAACAGACCATCAAACGTTTCTCTATAACCGCACTGAACGAAGATTTGCAAGTTAAGACGCGCCCGTACATTTCTGCCTATACGTCATTTTAATATCTACTGGTTGGCAGTAAATTTTTATAATTAGAATTTTTTGTGCGTTTATTAAATATTCAAGAATATATTCCCCGATGACATACCATGTAATTCCAGGATGGCTCAGTGGTTAAAGGCGCTGACTACAGACCCAAGGGTCCGTGGTTCGAGTCCCTGGCATGACCAAACTTTTCCCAAGAGTGAGGAGAGTCACCAGCTCTCTGTGATTCCAGGCGCTGGAATCACGAGGTGTAGTCACATCGAGAGGAAGGACCAAGACACTGCTCGATAAGCTTAGCTTTCAGTGTCCTAAAACCCATCTTCGGATGCTAGGTAGCAACATATACAAATACAAATACAGCCCCTCTAATAATCACCAAACTGTACTATATTTCCTTTATAACAGTGTAGTGCATAGGAACAATACAATTGGCAACCCCCCCCCCCCCCCCCCCCCCCACCCCAGATAAAATTTTCCTAAAGCCTGACATGCTCTTTTCATGCTACAGTATTAGATCCAATTGAAGCTTAATCTGAATGACAGACAATTATTTTCTTTCTCTCGCGACAATCTCACTTTTATTCCATCGCGACAATCCCACTTTTTTATTTTCGCGAAAATCTCACTTTCATTCTTTCGCGACAATCTCACTTCTTTCTTTCGCGACAACCTCACTTTCTTTCTCTCGCAACAATCCCACTTTCTTTCTTTCGCGACAATCTCACTCTCATTCTTTCACGACAACCTCACTTCTTTCTTTAGCGACAACCTCACTTTCTTTCTCTCGCAACAATCCCACTTTCTTTCTTTCGCGACAATCTCACTTTCATTCTTTCGCGACAACCTCACTTTCTTTCTTTCGCATCAATGCCACTTTCTTTCTTTCATGACAATCTCACTTTCATTCTTTTGCGACAATCTCACTTCTTTTTTTCGCGACAATCTCAAGTACTTTCTCTCGCAACAATCCCACTTTCTTTCTTTCGCGACAATCTCACTTCTTTCTTTCGCGACAACCTCAATTTCTTTCTTTCGCAACAATCCCACTTTCTTTCTTTCGCGACAATCACAAGTACTTTCTCTCGCAATAATTCCACTTTCTTTCTTTCGTGACAATCTCACTTTCATTTTCTCGCAACAATCCCACTTACTTTCTTTCGCGAAAATCTCACTATGTTTCTTTCGCGACAACTTCACTTTTTTATTTTCGCAAAAATCTCACTTCCTCCTCTTGTAACAACCCCATTTTCTTCTTTCGCGACAATCCTACTTTGCTTATTACGCGACAATCTCACTTTGTTTGTTTGCAACGTATCCAGCTGGTATCACTTGGGGGTCTGGGAACAGGCCTGCAATTACTTCCCACGTCACAGAGAGAAGGCAGAAGACATCGCAGGTGGGAATAAAAGGCTTCCAGTTGGTGTTGTCTGTAAGGAACTTTTTGGTTCGGCACAACAAGAGATTTCCAAAATCTTCATAAAATGACTATTGTGTTCAATATTGACTCATCAATTGAAGCTTGGCATTTCTTCACTTAGTCTGGGGCTAAACCATGACGTAAAAATGCAATGCAGCTGGCATGTCAAGGGCTGAGCCCCCAGATATAGACCCTCACAATGTTAACAAACGGGGTGAGCCCCCAGAGCCATACACCCATGGCACCACATGGCTCCACCCATGGACTTAGTTTATGTAGATGTATACGAAAAGCAAAATTCAAGCTGCGCTTGTGTTCACTTTGAATTTTGAATTATAATTTAACAGATGTTTTTAGCAATGACAATTTCCACCGGGTTTCTGCAGCAAAAAAATTGACCCAATATGAGACACTGCTGGAAACTCCAGACATTTAGATAGCGCTATTCAATCCATACATTTTCTGAAATCATTAAATTGACTTTCTAAAGAAAAGACCATAACGAAGAACTTATCGATTGGACCTTTCCAAAAAATAAGGAATGACATCGCAAAGATTACATTGCTGATATTTTACCAATTCCCCAGCATTTCCTTATTGAACTTAGACGAAATACAACATCGACTCTGCTGAAAATCTGGGAGACGATGCACCCCCAGCCCTCCGCTCCATATCCCTTCCATCTCCCCCCCCCCTCCTCACACCTCCCCTCCTCCGCCGCTCTGTCCATACTCTCCTAAAGTAATTTCAATAATCAAGTGACTATTAACATGGCTCTGGAAAATCATCGAGTCTTAGCAGACACGTCTCTATTTGACTCTTTTTCGATACTCTTATATCGGGGAAAAACACCTGCCAAGTCTCCTTGGTTCTAATAGACATCTAAGCAACTTGTTGAGCTTTTGCCAGGTTGCACAGTGCTTATTCAAGACAATCATTGTTTAAAAAGTTGCCTTTTTACAGATATATTTTATTGACAGCGAACAGTTGGTATAAAAATTCGTCATTTTTTCACTAATGGCTGTTGCTACTTCAGAAATCTGTCAATTTAAAGAGAAGCGATTTGAAAGACCATACGATATAGAATGGTTAGCTGTGCATTTTCTGAATTAAGCCGGGATTATGCAGATTTTCTGTCAAAAATTTGAGCTATCAAAGTGGAATGGACTGTAGACCGGACTGGCAAGAACATTTCTGTGTGGTGAATGAATGAGAGGACTTTAGCAAAAGTCTTGGAAAGGGAATTTTAATTTAAATTGTGTAGACATTCGTGGTCGCAAACACAGGCTTGGTGTGTCGGGCTTTATCGTTTTCCTGTGGGAGACGATAACCCAGAGAGAGATTCTGTTCATTGTTAACTGAAGACTCGTGACTTTATGACTACAGGGCTCCATTTACAACTAAATTCAAATCTACTGTTCATGCGCTTTACACAAGTTGCAGTTGGCAGATTATGATCTATATGTGATTGGCAGTTCGATTACAATTGAAAGCAAAACGAGGTTAACGAAAACGAGGCTAATACTGTTACATTGGAACCGCGTAAAAGGAGAAATGGAATGTCGAAAGCCGTCATCAGATTGTCGAATTCGATTTTTCAAGAATCGAACATGTTCTATTCCATTCGCAAATCGAAAGGTGAATGAATGACATTCTTGCTCGCCCACGCTTGTACGTCATCCGAATTACCATGTTCTGTATTGTTTCAGACTGTTTGCAATCATTTTAAAGATAAAATAGAGTGAACGCAGCCAAAGTTCAACAAATAAAAGAAACAGAATTATTCATTGCTAAATACTCATGTTGTCCTTCATGTAGTCCTTTCCTTCGGTGAAGCGCAACTCGTTCAAATGTGTATCGTATGTTCCAAATATAGGACATTGATTCAGCCATTCTTTTGTCCATTTTGTTTGTTTTTGACTCTTATTTCTTCGTTTTTTTAATGCCAGTGCTATAACTCTGGCAGCTGAAGCAACCTACTCCATTTCATAAACAGAATCGAGGCATTTGACTCTTATCTTATTCGACAAAATCTGATCGTGTAAAAGGGGCATTCGATTCGACAAATATGAAGCAAAACTAGATTCGACATAATCGAATTCGACAAAATCTGACCGTGTAAGAGCAGCTTAACAGGTTCATTCTTCTGTCACATGTCACGCATGCGCCGATATTTACTGATCACATGACCTTTACTGTATGCATTGTAAACAGAGATTTGATCGAGAATTTTTAGTTGATCTGATTCATGAAAGATGATCACGTAAAAGTGTTCCGCCATTTGCCTCCCGATCTACTTTTCAGTGTTATGCAACGCCTCTTACACCCGGCAGGGGGAGGGGGCACTCGCCGTATTTTTATGTACGGGTGTGGCCACACAGTTAAAATCTTTTTTCTTACCTCTCCCTAGATTTATGCCCTTTTGCCATTTATTTTAAATTTAAGCTTCACTAGAATACATAAAAGAAAGAATATTTTTTTATCAGGTTTTTCAGCAGGACCAGCCAAAACAGTTGGTTCTAGCTGAAATTGGTTCCCTGAAGTTCCTAAAATGAAAGTAGAAAAATTAAGATGTATTTAAGTTTAGACTTTTGAGAAAACCCTTGGCAAGCAGAGTTTTGTTGCCTACGAGCAAGACGCTCGCTTTATGCTACTATCGACGTTGTTTTTTATCAACATCATCTTTGTATTGTAGCAATTGGTGATTGTTTTACTTGAAGTACATCAAAGTGGGCCTTCGCAGCTACATGATGGTGGATTGCTGACATGAGCAACTTGCCCCCAACCGTCGCTGAGAGTCAAGAAAAATGATGCTTCAGAAGCTGCACTTCTTTAGAAGCTTCAGATCTCAGTGCTAAATCTGACTGCACCATCTGGCATTCTATCTGATATTCAGACTTTTGCTACCCGGAATGTTGTTATAGTGACTGTTGCTAGCGAAACAGCAAAATGTGCCCCAGCTACCACTGGCAAGAAAAGCAGCAGCCTCTTTATTAAAAGTGCCTCCTTTTCGGTAGTGTTCAAGCGTTGAAATCTCTTCGCCAAAAGCATTGTGCGGCGCGATCTACGACTGCACAAAGAAAACAATTTGTCATATTTCTAAAGTAACATCAGTACAACAAGCCAGTCCAGCTCGTGACTTCCTTAAAAGATTAATTATTATCAACGTGTGCCAAATTGACATGGACACACGTTAAGCCATATGACATATCTCATACTTAGGCGGTTTAGAAAGGCTCAATTCACGCCTACCTATTTGTTGTCTGAACGTTATTAATTCCTACAAAGATGTCCACTTACGCAAACGCAACCGTAACCGCGGGGGAATTCTGGAATACCACCTGTCAGCGACTCTTCAATCAAGGCTACAAGACAAGCATGTATCATCTTACAGAGTCGTTTGTTATGCCTACTTACGTCATCGGTTGCATCAATTGCGCAGCCGCACCCCCAACTGTGATATTCAACCTTCTACTTATCATTGCAATAGCCAAGACGACGTCACTACAGACGAAGACCAACACAATCATCCTTGGCATTCTGGTGATGAATCTGCTAGTTGGGCTGTTTTCCCTACCAACCTATGGTGCTTATATGATCCAAATTACAATGCGGATTTCGTATTGCACCGGCAGGACCTTTACCGCCATCTTTGGCTCCTCCGTCGCCATTACATCAGTGCTGTTAACGGTGCTCCTGTCATACGAGAGATACGTCGCGTTGATGAAATCATACTCGTATGAGACACTGATCACCGAACGGAAGGTATGTAATTATCATAATCATAACTAATATTCTCAGGTCTCATTCATTGCCTGTCATCGATATTTTTAAGTAAACCCCCGTAAAAATGGCATCAGAGCAGAGGTATAGAGTTGGTAGGGGCTAAAGGGGGGCTTCAATCCTTCTTGTAGATGCCACAAAGTAGCTCTGCTTACTTTTGTGACTGGGCTTTTGTGGGAATGAGTCGCGAGGGCCTCCGTTACACTTTTCATAGTAATACACCCCCGTCTAAAAGTAACAAATACATCTAATGAAGCTGGTGGTATCCTGTAGCTCTTGTAGCTATATATCAGATAGTTTTGGAAGAAACTAACTGTTTTTCCATTTTATAACAACATTTTAAAATGCTTTTCCAAGTTATACGGTCCTTTCCAAGTTATACGGTGCAAAATTGTGTTGTGACTTGATCGCTGGACTATGAATCTCTCGATCATAACAGTTATAAGTCAGCCGATCTACACTCAGTCCTCTTTATCAATCAGCAAGTCGATTGCATCAATCAATCATAAACGATCACTTCAATCAATCACAATCCGTCAAGTGTAGCATTGCAATAAACAAATCGATTACTGAATTGACAACTCAACCTTATTCAATCAGCAAAACAAGCATACCAATCAATCACTACAATCAATCAATCAATCAATCAATCAATCAATCAATCAATCAATCAATCAATCAATCAATCAATCAATCAATCAATCAATCAATCAATCAATCAATCAATCAATTAATCAATCAATCAATCAATCAATCAATCACTACAATCAATCAATCAATCACTTCAATCAATCACTACAATGACTACAATCAATCAATCAATCACTTCAATCAATCATATCGATCAATCACTACAATTAATCAATGATACCAATTAATCATACCAATCAATCAGGCAATAACTCAATTAATCATTCGAGCTAATCGCCTAATCTACTGAAGTATCTTGAAAACGATTTTTCGTTCTCAAACTCACTTTGTTTCTGATTTCAGATCATATGCGGGATATTCTTCTCCTGGGCGATTGCATTAACGATCATCCTGGCATCACATGTAAAAGCTACTTCTGTCTACGCAAGCGTGCTTATGAGTGGTGTCATTTTCATCGGCTATACATACAATGTCGTTGTGCATATCATGATGTTCAGAGTCATCCAGCGCATGCGCAGAAACCAGGTAAGCATCAACGTCTTTAACACAGCTGGCAATGAAAGTAATGACGCAAGATTCAACGTAGACGGGGGTATTGTCGCGCAAATAGCGTACGAGAGGAAGCAGAAACGCACATTTAAGTTCACGGCATATGTTATTGGTTTTCTGCTGGTTTTTAACCTGCCAACAGTCGTGGTGTATGGGGCCGTACGCGCCCTCCCATATGTGTTTATGCCATATTACACCGCAGACACCATCTTGTGCCTCCACGCGACGTTCAGCCCCCTTCTGTATGCATGGCAGTCCCCCCGTTTATTCAAAGCGGTTTGCCGTTTGTTTAAACGGAACACCACTGACGTCATGTCACTCGAGAACGCAAACAACAACAACAACAACAAGAGTGACACACCTCGTGGCCAGTGAACCTAGCAAGGGCAAGAAACATCCTATGGCCTGTGTTAGTCCCGTTATGGAATAATCCTTAAAATTCACCTGTAAGTTGAGGGTTTTTACGTTTAATCTCCCAATGGTGGGATTTTATCTAATAGAAACTGCAGACAAACTAATTTAATCTATTTAGATATTCCTGCTTGTTTTTCACAGCTAGGTCCTTATGCATCTTTTAAACGTAATTGCAAATTTCTTCTTTCGCTAAATACTTCTCTCAAGAGCTTGGGTTCCTTTCTAGAGCACCTGGAATCTTCTCATAATCACAATTCTTCACAATTTATAATTCCCAAATCCATCCTTTCTTGGAGTGCTGCTCCCATATTTTGGGTGGTGCTCCTTAATTTCCCCTACGCCCCATTAATAAAGTTTAACCCAAAGCCATTCGCCTGGTAAAAAACTGTAACCTCACCAAGTTTCTTCAGCTTCTCCCCCATCAGCGCTTTGTTGCTGATCTTTTTATGGATTTCACCGCCATTGCTCCCAAGAGTTAGGTGATATAATCCACAACACAATACCAGACACTCTTCCAGTACACACCCTTTCCAAGTCTCTTTGTCAAACGCACGAACTCAATCCAACAAATCTTTCTTTCACCCTAGGTCTTGTAAATCTTAGAATGTTGTACCCAAGTTTTATTTCTGCATTCCTGTATTTACTCAAAATAAACAAGCTTAGCAAATCTGTCGAATTAACATCTGTTTGCAGTCGCATTCTGCTTTATTGTCACAGCTGTAAAGCAGCATATTTTGTGGTTTCAACTACAGGGCTTCTGTGATATCAACATATATACAGTACTTTGTGTAAATATTAAACGGGTGTAGACAAATTCTGTATATAGATTCGTTAATGATAAAGATGAAAAAATACTAACCCTTCTTAAGCACTACAATTACAGCATACTAAAAGCTTTTTCGTCTGAAACTCCCCAGAGGATAAAACATCAGAATGAACGACCAATACTTCATGTTCTTCATTCTCAGTTAGTTGTCAGAGGCGTAGCCAGCGGAGAGGGGGGGGGGTTGTAGGGGGATGTAACAGCGCCAATACTTAATTAGCATGTTGGTATATCTTCAGTTTGTCTAAAAACTCTTAGTTTGTCAGTAAAATCGTCTATCAGTAGGTGAAATAGGACATAAATCCTTCTCCATCTATGTCTTCATAGGTAAATTTTTTTATCGACGTTCCTCCACAACCCCCCCCCCTCCCCCAGTCTGAAAGGTCAAGCGATGCTATTGCACGTTGTTTTGTGGTCTCCTAGGCTGCAGCCCTCAATAATGGTCAAACAATATTATATTTCTTTATAAAACTATTTGCTGTATTGAAAGCAAGAGCATAGAAAAATAAAAGTTTGCTGACTGTTTTTAGAAAAGGTCATCTTTCAGGATGGGACTAAAGATGGGATAACTCCCTGCGAGTTCATATGGTCAGTTTAAAAACTTCAAACAGTTCATTTATTAAAATAATGTGACATGGATTTTGCCTCAATGCAGTTTCTCCAGAATTTATACTTTGAACTACTCCTGTCCACTTGTAAAATGCTAACCATAAAGCCATGTCCGCCATATATTCATACTGGGCGAGAGTGGCCCCAAGGAAGGGTACCACACCCTGGACCAACTCAGTTATCATGTACTGGGCAAGAGTGGCCCTAAGGAAGGGTGCCACACCCTGGACCAACTCAGTTATCTTATACTGGACAAGAGTGGCCCTAAGGAAGGGTACCACACCCTGGACCAACTCAGTTATCTTATACTGGACAAGAGTGGCCCTAAGGAAAGGTACCACACCCTGGACCAACTCAGTAATCTCATACTGGGCAAGAGTGGCCCTAAGGAAGGGTGCCACACCCTGGACCAACTCAGCTATCTTATACTGGACAAGAGTGGCCCTAAGGAGGGGTACCACACCCTGGTCCAACTCAGTTATCTTATACTGGACAAGAGTGGCACTAAGGAAGGGTACCACACCCTGGACCAACTCAGTTATCTTAAACTGGACATGAGTGGCCCTAAGGAAGGGTACCACACCCTGGACCAACTCAGTAATCTCATACTGGGCAAGAGTGGCCCTAAGGAAGGGTACCACACCCTGGACCAACTCAGTTATCTTATACTGGACAAGAGTGGTCCTAAGGAAAGGTACCACACCCTGGACCAACTCAGTTATCTTATACTGGACAAGAGTGGCCCTAAGGAAGTGTACCACACCCTGGACCAACTCAGTAATCTCATACTGGGCAAGTATGGTCTGAAGGAAGGGTGCCACACCCCGGGCCAGCTCAATAATCTCATACTGGGCAAGTATGGTCTGAAGGAAGGGTGCCACACCCTGGACCTACTCAATAAATTCACACTGGGCAAGAGTGGTCTTAAAAAGGTGTCACACCCTGGACCAACTCAATGGATTCATATTGGGTAAGAGTGGCCCTAAGGAAGGGTACCACACCCTGGACCAACTCAGTAATCTCATACTGGGCAAGAATGATCCTAAGGTAGGGTGCCACACCCTGAACCAACTCAATTAATTCATACTAAACAATAGTGGTCTTAAAAAAGGGTGTCACACCCTGGACCAACTCAGTGGATTCATATTGGGTAAGAGTGGCCCTAAGGAAGGGTACCACACCCTGGACCAACTCAGTAATCTCATACTGGGCAAGTATGGTCTGAAGGAAGGGTGCCACACCCTGGGCCAGCTCAATAATCTCATACTGGGCAAGAGTGGCCCTAAGGAAGAGTACCACACCCTGGACCAACTCAATAAATTCACACTGGGCAAGAGTGGCACTAAGGAAGGGTACAACACCCTGGACCAACTCAGTAATCTCATACTGGGCAAGAGTGGTCCGAAGGAAGGGTGCCACATCCTGGACCAAATCAATAAATTCATATTGAGCAAGAGTGGTCCTAAGGAAAGGTACTACACTCTGGACCAACACTCTGGACCAACTCAATAAATTCATATTGGACAAAAGTGGTCCTAAAGAAGAGTACTACACCCTGGACCAACTCAGTAATCTCATACTGGGCAAGAGTGGTCTAAAGTAAGGGTACTACACCCTGGACCAACTCAATAAACATATCGACAATCTGTTTTGAAAAAAACATGCTCTTGTATATATAATCGGCAGCATTCCAATATAGAGCATTTTTGGTAGGGTGTTGTATTCAGATTGAAACTATGTTTTTCCCATTCTTTCTAATTTCCTCATTAGTTGTTTATTATATGTTAAGCTATGTTTCACATTCATATAGAATGTAGGTATGAGAAAGCAAACAATTTTACAATTATGTTTTCTTTTCTTTCTTTATCTAAGGTTGGTACAATTTCTAGCTATGCATACTCAAGCTAATTTAATCCAATTTATTTAAATTGCCAACGCTTAATATAATGTAAATCAAATATAACCGATGTTGCTAATGTATTTCTTGCAAATATTACAAGTACAATTGGGAGTTTCTTAAGTAATATGGGCATTCATTTATGGAAAATATTTCACCCATAAAAGGTGGACTCAAACCGTTAAATGTTTTGTAATGTTCATTTTGCTTTTTTTAAAAACTGGTTTTGAATTTTATTTCGTTAAAAACTGCATTTTCAGCTTATTTCTTGCTTAGAAAATTACCAATGGAGTCCAAGGGGTGAAAGTGACGATCAGAATTGTGAGTCCATGTCTCTTAATTTTCTATTTAGTAGCGGCTTATTCATTGTTATGTACATCAAATCTAAATCTGCTAGACCGAATGGTGCACTAAATTACATTCTAACCCTCCCTTCCCCATCAATAGAGACTGTCGAATACCACATTTGGACATTTTGCTGAAGATGACCCCCTTTCCAAAATCTTTAATCGTTCTATAACTGAAGAAAACAACAAGCATTTCTCTCCATCTAGACAACGAATATAATTATTGTTATTGAATCTTGCTGTTTTGTTCTACACGGATTTTAAGGAAACACCCTTGTACCCTACTTGTCAATTGCTAAGTGTAGCCCAAGTCTTTGAATTGGACCATCACGCAACCTGTTTATGTCGGCCCCATCTAAAGTTTTTTTCTAAGGGGCCAGGAAACTCTAATTCACAACTGGGATCTCCAAAATTTTTTGAGCAAGAATCTAGCTTTGCAGTGTTGTAAATAATCATGTTTATGCTGTACAGAAACCAAGAATTATTAAGATCGTTGTTTTAGTCACTATGTGCAATATATCCGGAAATTAAACCAAGGAATTATTCGTTGAGATTGTTGTCTCTTTGCCTCAAAGCCTGTTTCAAACGCTCCCAGTATTTTAATAAAGACTTAATTTCTCCCAAGGACCGTGGTTGTGGGGGCTGTCAGCCCCCAATAATTCCCAAAATGTACTTAAAATCAGACCAAAAGTCGCCCTGCTCTTGGTTTTAGCATGTTTAGCCACCCAAAACGTTTTAGCCTTTCTCAATCTGTGATATGCTCCGCGGTTCTTGACTCCCCCATAAACTGTTCAGTGCTGTTAAGTGATTACTTGAGGGTCTGTCCCCCATTGCCCCCTAGTAGCTACACCATTGCTTAAAGACTCATTGCTAACAATGAGCCATTGCACTACGCAAGCATCCCATAATGCATTTTCAGACAGTCTGAAATCAATTATGGTTAATCCGTAGAAGTTTACTGCCATTGTTTGGATTGTCGCCTGGATAATTTGCCACCCTCGCAAAGGCTCGTTGTTAGTATCTTTAATGTTTAAATGATAATGTAATGCAAATAATGGCCCCTTCTTAAATATCTCCTTGAATGACTGATTCTTTGTAGAGCGATCAGGAACAGGTTTAAGCTGCAAAGAATGGAGGGGGGAGGTGTTAGAGAATGATTCAACTTTACATCAGTGTTATGCATAGGAAGTCGCACCCCGCACATCCCCCGGTCAATTCTTCCCCGAGAACGAGGAAGAAATCCGAAAATATGATGAAGAGAAAGAAAACACTTGAAAAAAGAACACGCAATTAGCAAACGATTTCAATTTGCTACAAGCAGGAACACCTTCTTTTGGTAGCCTTTAATTTTATTTTTCAATGTTAATAAAAAAGGACCGGTATTTTTTCTTCAAAGGCTCTTTTCCCCCATCTTCGCAAAATGACTCTTGTCAATACCAAAATGGTTTCGTTGGAATAACCAACTCAAACTTTTGTACCTTTTCGCAAGTTTGTATTGCATTTAAAACGAAAGTTTTATTTTTAATTAGAAAATAAAAGCACGGAAAAAGACCCTCCTTAGGCCCCCTAGCCATGAACGCCACGAGAAAAGCATACCACATTAGTAGAACCCCCTGAAAACTCTTTTGATCTGGGAAATTTGTGATTGTGTTTGTGATTAAAGTTTGTGATCTTGGAAATGAAAACGCTTAATTATTTTAGACTTCTTTTCGATCAAAAAATTAGGAATTGACCGAACTTCAAATCAAACCTGCTGAACTTTTCTGAAACCTCACTTTGGATGAGACGCATGTTTTGATCCCGAGGCTCCGGTTAGTGCCCAGTTTCTTTACGAAACCGTCCGCCATCTTAGTTTGGAGGCGAAGTTGCTGCCTGTCTCTAAGAAAGCAAACTGTTTTAAGAAAGTACAACAAATTAACTTGAAGCAAGTTTCTGCAACATAATTATGGGAGGAAAGACATTTGGCAATCTTGGAATCAAATCAAAGAACATAATATCGTATTCTTTGTCGCCATTTGAGCAAAAAGCTTTCGCCGGCTTTTTTTCAAAAGGAGTTGGAAATCTGTATCGTCGATTTAGATCCCAAGTCTTTTATGTTGCTCCTGGTATGTTATGGCTCGCTGCAGTTTACACATATGCAACTCACGAACACCATAGATTGTCAAGAAAGAACCCAAAGGACTTTGAAGATGAAGTGTAAAACAAATTATCAAATGTTATGTGAAGGGCTTGGCAAGACAAAGAATTAACTTGAACGAGGTATCTGTTTCGCCATTGTCAAGGCAAATAATGGAGTTATTATTTTGATAAATGTTATGAATTGGTGATTTGAGAGTTTGTGTCATGAGAAACTGTTTATTCTGAAATACTGGTTAGTTTTTTTCCACTTTGACCTTTT